AAGCCACCACCAGGAAGATTGTTATGGGCAGATTGTTTAGCAATCACGCACTGTAATTGATCACAGAACATGGAAAATTAAAATCACATGTCCAGATAATAAGCGGGACAAAAACTAGTCTACAATACATGTATATTGTTATAATGTATATTGTATATACCGGTAGATTTTTCACACAGTCAAGGCATACTGGCATCAAACCAGTATATAATTCTAAGGACTCATTCCCAATGAAATTATCGTTCCACATGGATCGATCCAACTACGCGGGGACTCTCGCATGAATGCAATCAGACTCACAGATTAACAATCATCCACGTGGCGATGAGTAGATTACAGGAAAAGCGCCTCCTGAAACAAGAGCGTTGGAAACAAGAAGAGGCGTCTTTATCTGATTGCTTTTATCGAGAGTCCAAGCAGAGTTGGAACGATCTATATAGAACGATAGTTTCATTGGAAGTGCGCCCTAAGGAAAATCAGAATGTAAAGGACTAGCAAGAATATTAATACACGCCATATCCCGTGCTCATTTTACTATCAATAGACAGACCCGTGGTGCGTTGTAGAGGGTGCTTTACTGCAGAACGATCCCTCTCGTATTATAACATTATGTATTTGATAATAATTTATAGCACATACAATGAAAAATATCGACCACCAATTAATTATCAGCAAACACACCCAAGAAACTAAGAAACTAATTTGAACTTGAATGAGCTAACATACCAATACTATTAATAGATGTTATACTATTAGACTAGTCGCTGATCCTGAAAATAGTTATATGAAGTATCTTTTTTTCCTCAGCAATTTATACTAGGTTTAATACTGTATAATGATAGACCAATGAATGACAGCTGATTCTATGTGTGATCGGGCAAACGGAAACACGTCTAATTTTAAGTTGAATACACGACCTCTGAACGATAACTTTGAACCACTCAAATAATCTAATGGAATCACAATGGCAGATTCTCGGGGTGGGGGGGGGGGGGGCACAACCAATTAACACACACTTTTCCGTTAACCCTTTAAGTAACCCTGTGCTCCACTTCCACCCCACTCAGCAAAAAATATAACGAACACAACGAGACAAAACCAAGCGATCTATGCATCCTTATGGTCTACATATTATAATGAAATTGTCTGTCTACTTTCTTACATTTGCCATGCGAAAAGTCCACGGGTTTGTTACTGAGTTATGTAATGCAGTGCTGGTACGAAAGAACAAAAGAGGAAAGCTATATAATAAATATAGGTCATAGACGATGTATCATAAACTGACGCACCTGTTTTTTTGCTATCTACGCACCTGTCGGTAGCCCACGTCTATAAGCACGTATGTTAGCCAAATGTTGACGTTGTGAAGTGGACTTATCGCTGTATTAATACTGACCCAAAGCGCAAACAGATACGCAGATATTGCGCCCTCATTACGGAGTTACACGTGATAAAAAGCGTTTAATCATGTCTCATATATTTAAAGTGTAGCAACGGCTATTCTACAATGAACAACGTGACTACCCGTGTGATTTATTACTGACTAATAATAAAAATGGTTATTAAAATAAAGGATGACAAAGGCTCTCCCTGTATTTGAAGTCAGATAGTTAAAGACATAACAACTCTTTATATGAGATTCAGTTATACGTAGAAGGCAACGCATAGATATATAATAAATTCCACTTTACCACCAAAACTGCGGTTAGCGCAATTATTCTGAAATCTGTGCTTGCCATCAGACCACGTCGACCACCATCATATATGGCTACCCTCCGTAATAATTTCTTAAGAGACAAAAAAAAAAAAAAAAAAAAAAAAAAAAAAAAAAAAAAAAAAAAAAATTGACTAACTTTGAGTATCGGAACGGATTCATTTACCATTGGAAAGTAAAAAAATGTGTCTTTTTCCCCAAGTTTTTTTTTTTGTCTCTTCCCACCGAAATGAGAGCTGTCATCTCTTTAACTTAATGTTCAGGATATTACGATTACGTGGAGGGAATATACCTTACCAAAAATACTTCACAATAAGATATTGTCCACAGGAATTTTAAAAAATATATTTGCCGGAGACCCCCATCCTTAGGAAAAAAAATCAATTTTCTGGGCAAAGCTTTAGACTTTTTAAATCGGATAATCAACTCCTCGAAGTCAATTTTGCGTCATTTGGTCCAAGACCTTCTAATGTAATAGGCCCACATTTAGGGTGTATTCCCAGAGATTTAGATCGATACAGAGATTAAGATTTAGACCGACCTAACTCCCTGGGGGTTCACGCTAAATTGCAGTCAGCCGAGCGCGCACCATAGTTAATTACCCCTTACAGCTTTCAGTAGGCGGGACAGACGCTTAAGCCGGCTAAGCTGACAGTAATCTAGTGAGACTCCCCACAGGGATAGATCGATCTAAAATCTATGGAAATGGGGTCTTAGTGTATCTGATTTAACGAAGTGGGCCATCTTCAACACTGAAGTTAGTTTCTCCCTCAAGACGATTATATGGAATTTGCCCCGAAGTTAAAACATCGTAAAAAAAACTAGGCGGTCTTCAGGATTCTTTTTAATGCAACGAATGTTATGTCCTTAACTTTTTAATATCATGTGAAACAGGACTCATGACGTCATAACAAAAGAGCATTATTTATTTCATTAATTTCAATGCGTCCCTTTATTATGCTCAGAGCTATGTTACAGGCGTGTTTGCTAAATACAGCACTGTGACAATTCATACAAACGAGCCTTAACACGAATATAAAAACATTTTGACAATCTCAACTAAAGGAAAAAAACGACAAAATTAATCTGATTTAGGTCCAAAAATAACAAAGGCCAGCATACTGAAGGCTGAGTTCATGTGCGCCATCTATAGTCAATTTACATTCTAAATGGCATCAATTTCTTCAACTGATCATTTTCAAGATAACACAAACATATTACAAATATATATGTATATTAAAACAACATCTCAAAGACCAGAGGATATTCGCCCTATATATTTCACTTAAAAATCATTGGGAAATGCGGTAATTAGTCTACTTTTTACAAACATGCCAGGAGAAACAAATGAAGGCAAATATACAAACTCCTTCATCTCTATGGTTTTTCTACTAAAAATTGCCTTTAAATCATCAAGACTTCCTTTTGCTAGTCACTAAAAACGTTGCTTAAATATTTTGCTTGAAACCAAATATAGGTTTGAAGAAGCATCCATCATTTTCCAAGTTTGTTGCTTTGATGAGCATGAAAACTTAAAAAAATTCTCTTTCCTGGAACACGACCACGACTTTCTATATTTGTCAGCATTTTCATGGATTCTAAAACCCAAGTTGAAAATATAATCGGAATATTGTGCTGTAGTACAAAAAGAACATCCATCTTCATGGCATCTTCTGTATCAAACTCAAATGACCTCTTCTTAATTCAAAGTCGTAAAACATTCTAATTTTACAAGTTCATCTAATTCATACATTTACTTTCAGATAACATAAAAATCATTCATAAATAAATAAATACAAACATTGTATTTTTACACCTCAATTCATGATGCCTGTTACTGGGAAGCTTTCAACTGAATAACGCCATTTCAAAATCCTCACATCTTGTGTTAGAATTTTTGAAGATAAACAAAAAAATCTTACTCAGTCTCAAATGCCTTTTTTTTACAGAAACTATATATATTACTTCTTTTTACATCTTCTTGAACATTTTCTTTTCTAGGCAATCTTCACCTTCAGAGGGCATTTGCAACAGATGATCCTACGATCTACTGATCCACGGATCAAATATGGCAGACTCTACATGAAAGCAGAGCCCACTAATCCCCCCGATGGTCTCCCTGCTGCCGCACGTGCCATTAAATGGTTTAAATGATGGCTCCAAGGTTTAATTAATAGACCCTGCGGCACATGTGGAGGCCAGAAGACCATCAGTGGATATGTTGGCTCTGCCTTCATGTAGGGCCAACACATTCCATCCCCAGATCAGTAGATAACCTGTTGTAAATGCCCTCTTAGACATCTACCAAACTACCTTCAGTGTCTGTCTATTATTCACTTCTGAGTCTTAATTAGGCATCCACAGCTGTCATCTGACCCATTAATGAGGGTTTAAATGTGTCTATCATTTATACCCCACAATATGCCTGTTAAATTCATATATTTTTTGGTGTGTGCACACAGTGCAGCCCAGTAGCTTAGAAAATTTAAGGCCTGTTCAGAAACCAGTTGATCCATGGAATAACTGATCTGCGGAAAAAAAATATAGTGCATTCTTCACAATGGATTCCCCGCCTCCCATGCCCCTATTCCCTGCAAGGTTGAAGGGCAAAGAAATTAAACCTCCGCCTGCTTTCAAGTGGGTCGTGCCTTATTTGATCCATGACTTAGTTAGTTCGCAAATCAACTTGGTTCTGAACAGGCCCTTAGCAGATTATAATCCCATATATTAACTTCTCATACAATAATAATGAACCACAGGTCTTAAAGTTATGGAGTCCCCAGCAGTATTTCTCTGTGAGTTCATATGAGACAGTCCATCTCAGTTAAGCGCCCTTTACACTAGACAGCGTCCTTTCTGCGTCCAGCAGTACGGCCCCATTTGAGAGTTAAAAAATTATAATACTTTATGTGCCGACAACTGGCCGATCATTGAGCATTCATTCTGATACCAAATCAATGCTCGTGCCTCCTTATTAAGACCACAGCGATGCCAAATTTCTTGGTCGCAGAAAGGACGCAGAAAGGACGCCGTCCAGTGTAAAGGGGGTATTACTGATCAACTGAGCCCTGACTAGGGAATTCCTGAAGTTTCCTTCATCCACCACATGTAAGATAAAGCGGATAGAGAACGAAAGATTTCAGCATCTGACTGTGGCTGACACAGTAGTAGTAGTTGTAGTAGTAGTAGTAGTAGTAGTAGTCATACTAGTAGCTGGGATAGCGCTAACACTCGCCAATTTAGCCAAATGCTAAAACTGACTTAAGTTGGCTAAACAAAGAATGGTTGATTTGACTTATTTTAGTCAAATTTCAACCATTTGGAGAAAAAAGTGATGAAAAAGTAGTGATTTGGCTAAGAGAAAAATTGCCAGAGCTACTCCAGTGTAGCATCACAATCTACTGAACCTTTTGAAGTAACAGTAGGTCAATCATCATAATAACAATAATAATACAAATAATAATACAAAAAAATAATAATGATGATGATGAATAGAAGTCCATGCATTCAGTACTTATTTATGTCAAATAAACGCACACCGTAGAGCTGAGGGAGCTTAGGAATGATATTGAGAGCAAGAACTGATGCATTGATGACGAAATGTGTCGCTTCGTACTTTGTGTAGAAACTGGCCAGGAAAAATCTGAAAAAAAATAAATAAATAAATAAAACACAAATGTTATAAACCGACTGACATAGGGTGTGTTCTCAATGAAACTTTCCTATTAATTAGATTGATCAATCCAACTACGCTGGGACTTTTCTAAATGCAATCAGGGCCCCGTATCTCGAAAGCATCGCGTATTGCGAATCGCTATATCAAATAGAGGCTACAATGTATTATATGGGACGAGTATGGGCGAGTTATGGAATCGAGACGCTTGCGCACGTGCGCAACATAGCGAACCTTTCGAGATACGGAGCCCAGATGAACTGACTGACATATTTCTGAGCAACTAGGGGTTGCTAAACTTTCGAATGCATCCAGCTGCTCTCAATGCAAAGTGAAAAGAGCTTCCGGAAACCAAGCGCACCCCTAGCTCCTCGAAAAGTTTTACTGGACATTTGGTTTTCCAAGTGTTTTTTAAAATGTCAAAATGTGTAGAGATTTGGGAATATTCTTCATTCATCTATAAACTTAAGTTGAACTCCCAAAATGAGTGAGAATAGTTCATACAATATATATGCATATCTATTCATATAAATCTGCACTTCTATGTAAAAATTGTTGTTAAATAGGAATTCAATTTTCAAAAAAAAAAAAAAAACAGTAATAATAAATAAATAAATAAATAAATAAATAAATAAATAAATAAAT